AAAACGACGATACGATGCATTTCTTCCCATTAATTAAAAAGCTTGGCTTTAATGGCAAATGACAGTTTTGGCTCAGTCTACGAAACCCTGGAGAATATAAGACCTGCTCTTCTCATTAAAAACACAGATTGAGACGTTGTCTCATACTTACATTTTCAAAATGAATCCAACGATGAACCTAAAACTGTTCGGACAACATTTAAAAAGAACATGTCGAGATAGGCTTTGTTCTTCTGCTCTTCTGCATTACTGTCTTCTCCATATGCATGCTTTGTTTTGAAAGAAATCCAATTGTTTTTTACCAAACTTTTTTTTAAAAAAATTGAACTTTCTGATTAAATATGTTCATTGGTTGGGTGGAAAGTGAAAAGCATGTCAGATTTGAGATTGTGATGATCAGTGGTGATGGGTGAAATTACAGTGATCGGACAGATAACTTCCCGGAATTTACTTCAGCATTTACTACTGAGATGACCCTTTTGTTTCACTTTTCTTAAAACCCTACTTTCATCTCCAACCTTCAGAATTTATTTCACCATTTACTATTTCGATTTCTGCATCGAGTTTCACTTTTTATTTATTGATTGATATCTTCTTCCAACAGTATTCTCATTGCCATCCCCTGCAATTCCTTATGCATGATACTGGACATAAGTATGTTAGTGAGTATTTAATTGAGTTGAGTCAAATAAAAAATTAAATTGAGTTTAAGGATATAATATTTGAAAAGTTGATTCAACGATATAATGTTTCGAGCATTGACTTAACGGTATAATATAAACGAAAAATCAATCCACAAAATACAATTCAAATAGTTCTGAGTTTAAATTTTACATATTTCAATGAACATGTCAACATCATTCTCAAACCACTGTCTTTTTTGTACGAAAAAGGATGGGTTCAAAATATATAAATAATCGAGTAATCATTTTGTGACTTCTAATAGTAAAATGACTCAACAAAGAAACTCTCTATGTCGAGGGACCATTATGTACTTTACGTAAAATTTTTATCAAAAGAAGCTTTAACGTTATACATGCATTCTACAATGATAGAGAAGTAAACTTAAAATGAAGGAGGAATCGAAGAAGCTAGAAAATTATACAAAATTGAAGGATTAAATTATAAAAATAGAAATTTTGTTGTCATAAATTTGATTTGAAACTATATAAGTATTTTTAAAGTGGTTGACGAGAATTTAGTTCCAATTTAGTCAAAATGGATTTAAAACAAAAGAGAAATTGAAGAAATAAAGGAATTATAGAAAGTTGAAGGACCTAAAATTAAAAAAGAGAATTTGTCGTCAAAACTATAAATTGAAGTTAAGAGGTATTCTAAGGTGGTTAAGGAGCATTTGGTCCAAAATTTGATCAAAAATAGATTTAAAATGAAAGATAAATCGAAGAAATAAAAAACCCAGAAAACAAAATAATCAAATTACTTAGCTAAAGTCGAGAATGACATCGAACATTCACTCTCGAACCACCGTCGAATAATTGGAACATAAACTAAATGGATAACACAAATTATTGAGGTTTCTCTATAAAATCGAATCATGAATGTAGAAATCTGGACTCAATAAATTACAGAACATTTAAGTTGAATAGTTATGACACTTCTAAGACAGCTAACTCCACACTGTATAACACCCCCATATGATATCACTCTGAAAACTTCGAGATCAGCTTGTCGACATGGATTATGATATCGTCTATCCGAGGCCGAACTGCAGCCTGAGGCTGAAGCATCCATGTCACAAACTGATGAAGAGCTTCCGGATATGGTGGTTTAGGTCCAGCCGGCCACTTGACCTGAGCATTTATAATGGCCAATTGCAGGCTTCCTCCAGCTTCTCCAAGTGCATACTCGAATGGAGACACCCCGTACCTACAACAAATGACGATTAATAACTGCCAAAACCGAATTGTTCGGTTTGGGAGATAAATGCATTTCAGATAAGCATCGTTTCGAAGATATTAGTTCTTACATTACTGCATATAAAGTGCATCCCAGTGACCAAATATCACTTCTCTCATCAATATCTGCATCGCTCGGGCAGTCCCACAACTCGGGAGCTCGGAAAGGTGCTGAACAGTGCTCAGATGCCCATTCCTACAAATGAAACCCAAATCCAACATGAACCTAGCGGAAGATGCACTAAGCCGATAGACAGAATATTGAAAATATAGAAGAAATAAGCACCTGAAGCTGGAGAGCCTCTGAACGAGAGCGAATTTGTTTCCTCGCAGGACGCGCACTCCCGAAGTCCATCAATATAGCAAGAGGTGACTGCCCTTTTCTACGCGTTAAAAGAACATTTCCAGGCTTAACATCATTATGTGCACATGGAGGATCAATACTATGCATATGTTTGAGTCCTGCACACAGCTGTGGAAATAATTTGGTCCGGTTAAAATGCTTACGATTCTTACTAATCAATTATAACATCAATAAATCCGGGAAAAAAAAAAAGAAGAAAAGAGGAAGTATAAAGAATGGCATGATTGAGAATCCTTGATTGAGAAATATTCAAGCCCTCAAGTGTAATACATGAAGAATGACATGGCATATGTCAAAACGGTAAGATCGTTTTACTCACCTGCCGGAATATTTGAAGAACATCTGAGGTAGAAAAGAACTCCTTTTTAGCTTTCATAGCATTCGAATTGTCCAGTAGAGTTCCATCCAAATGAACTGGAAATAGTAAATATGCTTCATGGTTCCATGATCCTTCTTGTGTAGGCTAACCAAAGAAATCAAATTGCTTTAGACAAATGCAATTGCATGAAAAGTAAAATGAAATAAGAGGAAGAACAAATAAGCAATAAGCGAAATACGGGAGCATCTTAAAATAGTTCCAATTGTAAGCTTTACATCAATCTTATGGGAAAATGGGTTGATAAACTCAAAAAAACACTCGGCAAGCATGCATGCAAGTTTAATTTGAATAAGAGATCCAAAGAATTACCTTGACAGAAATGATAGCATGATCAATAAGCGGAAGCAGATTAGGGTGACTAAACAAGGATGAAACACGGATCTCCTCGCGAACCAATTCTAATTGCTCAGTGTTCTGAATAAGAACTTTCTTCATCGCGTAAGTTCCATCATCTGCAAATGCAACCCGAGTTCAGATGTAATTCATAAATCGAAATTGCATAAATTGGAACCCGGCCGTCATAAATCAAATACACAAAAACTCCATAAAAAACTCTGACCTTCTACCTCCAATGCCTTAAGTTTTCAACACATAATTTACATCAAAGATTAAACTGATCCACAGTTTTAGTTCTGTAACTCCAACTAGAGTTCGATAATCACTTAAAGGTACACTTCTACACATACACGATTCGATTTTGTGAGATTATCATACTACTATTGTAACAAAGAAGAAGAAAATAGCATAATTTCAGATCCATATGTAACCAATATCCCAAACCAAAATAACCCCAAACAACCTACCTTATAATTTTCATGGAAAATACCATAGCCGGCTTCAATTTTGCATAGACAATATACCATAATCAAGATAATCCATACAGTCATTCACAATAAATTAGCAAAAACAAGTCATCACACGCATAAACACAATCAAATTGCAAGCAACAAAAGGAAATCGGTTAAAACCATGAACCGAAGGACCAGACGAGAACAACAAATGCACAATTCAGAAAGATCGGATCATTGAAAAATCATTCAAATAGAGAAATGCCCAAATCGTAAAATCCTAAAAAGAGATTAAAAAAGAGAAATTTTTTTGAAGGGGGACGAACCAGAAAGATGAGAAGGGTCCTTGACTTTTTTGGCTAAGCCAGTAGCTGAAGCTGAAGATGAATCGGATACGACTTCCTTCACCAAATAAACATAGGCGAACCCACCTTCGCCCAACTGCCTCACGATCCTGAACCGGTTGTCGTTGATCCAAACGTCCCCTACGCCGTTTACGGCGTCGTATAATGCATTCAACCCTGAAAACGAACACCCCATTGCTTTTCTTTTCTCCCTTCAACTCAAAAAGGGGGGAAAATTCCTTTTTAGATCTTCAAGCTATCATTTTTTTCCAGCTTTTGAAGCATTCACGAGACTGTGATTTGTGTATTGGAATTTAGATCTGAGTTTGACACTCCACGTTTTCATTCTTCCACTCCGCTGTTTGCGTTGGGATTGGCTACCGTCACTTTGACGCGACTGCTCACATCAAAATCTGGCGCCACTCCCTCGCGCTTTCATTTATAATTTTAGAGTTGCTCTGGTTTAATCTGGTCCGTCCATTTGGCTGACCTAGTAGACACGAGTACACACAAACTTATTACCTAAGGTTGAATACACAACTTGGCTCCTAAATTTGACATTTCTTTCAATTTCATCCCTGAAATTTTTAGATCAAATCACCCCTTAAGATTGGAGAACATGACGTAAGTTTGAATTTTGAAGGTTTAATGCATAAATTGTCCCCTAAACTTGACAAATTTGCTTCAACATAAAGAGTTAAAATTTCTAAATTTATTTTTATTTATTAAAATAAGATTAAATTGGTACAATATATTAATATATAGCGTTATAATTTTTAAATTTACAACTAAGTAAATGTAATATATAAAAATATAATGAAATTTAATATATTTTAAATAGTTTGAATGATTATAAGATAATATTTATTTTTTAAAAATTAATCTTTTAACATATATATGTCCTACAAATGTAACTGTTCAAACTTGGCATTTCTAGAAAAGTAATACCCTCTCTCATTACCGAGGTAGCTTTAGACACCATTATCACGAACACACACACAATAGTTTTTTTTTGTCTTTCCGGTTACAAGGTTTCGTCCTGACTAATCCGAATATACTTCAATAGTTTTTTTTTGTTATACTCCTGGTTCCAGGGTTTTGTCCCAACTAATCCAAACCAACATGTGTTGCACACATGACTTTAGTGAGTGAGTCTCATAGTGAAGATTTTTTGCATACACAAAGACTCGAACTCGAGATATACTTAAGTGATATTAAACTATTTATTGCTTGAACTCGAGATATACACAACATTTTATGTCAATCTTGCAAACTTTTAGATAAAACTATATTAAAAATTTAGGAGCGCAAAACTACACGATTTCACGAGTACAAAATTATATCATCAATAATAAAATAAGAAAAATACTTAAATTACATTAAAACTTAGGGTAAATTATACATTTAGTACTTAAACTATCAGTTTTGATTTATTTTAGTACCTAAACTTTCATTTTTTTCAAAACCATACCTAAAGTTTAGTTTTTGTTTCATTTCAGTACCGTTCTCGAGAAAAAAATTGAAAACTCAAGTATTAAAACGGACCAAAATTGATAGCTTAGGTACTAAACGCATTAAATTTTTAACAACATGGTATTAAAATGAAATAAAAACTAAAAATTAGGTATGATTTTAAAAAAAATAAAAATTCAAATACCGAAGCGAACCAAAACTAATAGTTTAGATATATTAAGCGTGTGATTTACACTAAAATTTAAATTTTTTAGAAGTTGGGATTGTAGTCGTTAACCTTCAGTCCATTCCGGACTGTTGTATTTATTCATTTAACACAAAAATGTCTGAGTGCTTTTAGACAATAGTGAGTATCCATTGATAAATTACTGCAACTTTTGTGTTGGTGTATAGGTTTGTAAAAATGGTGTTTTATTTATACAACCCAAATCTTCTGCTGCAGAAACTCGGCCACCAATCAAACAAGGACCGCCAGTTTTTCCGGTCGAAGTCTCAGACAGCCGGGTGTTGCTGAGTAATGCAGTGTATATTTCCGCCTCCCAGGACGATTTCTCGAGCACCATCGATTCTTACAACCTGCATTCGGTCAAGAGAACAGCATCAGGCTTCGATACGAGTATGTTATGCAAGCCGGGTGTAAGTGTCAGATACGAGTATGTTTAGTTCTTCTTCAAAGTGTTTCTATGAGGATTGTATCCCGAACAGTCATGTCCGGACAAAGAGTTGGAGCAGCATTAGTGGAAACTACCATCAACCAGTAGTAGCTAAAGACTATTGCAAATTGTAGATCATGCCTACAATATGCGGACACAAGTATGAGGGTATGACAATCCGAAGACCTTGAACACGTGTGTGAGACGTACACGAATCGAGCATTCACACCTAAGTACTGTAGCCCGAAAGTAACCAATGAAAATACTTGCTTACTTCATAGTTTGGAAAAGCTCGAGAAAGGACCCGGACTGCTTCGTCGTCCCACTTTTGGTCCCCGAATTGCGGCGTGATGATTGCTCCATTGGCGATATAGAAGTTGACGTAAGATGCAGCAAGTCTTGTACCCGGAAGTCTCGGTTTCGCCTCGCCATCCTGTTAGAAGCATCAAAGACCGGGAAACAATGCACAATGAGACCAATTTTATCTCTTAGGCCAGGCACTAAGTTGGACATATTTGGCCTGCAACGCAGAGCTGTAGGGGAAAGAAATGCTTACTTGAGCAACTCCGGCAGCTTCTTCATCCGACATAAAAAGCGGCCCCGGAACATGGAGTTTGATGATTTCTAGTTTCCGACCGCATGCGTCTCTTTCGTTTGAGAGAACAGAGAAGGCTTCCACGGAACGTTCATATTGAGGGTCGGTTTCATCATCAGTCCAAGACAACAGAACAACACCAGGCTTTGCAAAGCAGCACATGTTATCGATATGACCATTAGTATCATCGTCACCTGTTGAAAACAAGACGATGGTTTAAATTTCGGCAGGTGTATAAAGTGTTCAAAAGCGGTCGGTAATCTGTAATCGGCAGACATGTATGCATATTTTGAAATGATGATTACCCAACCGAAAAAGAAAACTAGGATCAAGACAGAATCATGTACCATATAATCCGCAAGGCAACCAAATAACCTTCTTGACTCCAAGATATGCCTTAAGTTCATCCTCTATTTGCTTTTTCGACATATTCGGGTTCCTGTTTTCGTTCAAAAGGCACTCCTCGGTCGTAAGGCAAGTTCCTGAGGGAAAAAGCTGAAGCTGAATAAACTCAAGATTACATTGCTTGAGAGGAGAAGTATTTAAAACATTAAGCTTCCCATGGCTTAAGCATTCAAAAGACTGTCCATTGCTCATAAAGCAACCAGATTATCGGTTTATCACCTTCTCCGTCTACGTGTATACTTCCTCCTTCGAGAATCATCGTATGTGGAAATCTTGGAAGCCTCTCATTTCCCAGTATCTGCAAACAATAAACGAATAAAGATAAATCTCCGGAAGCATTAAACCGAAACAAGTAAATATATCGATAACACTAACCTTCCTTGCCACAAAGAGGTCATGTGTCCAATCTGTATAACAACCATCATCAACCCCTACAAAGACGACGACAGAACAACACAATATGCAATCAAATTAAAAGTTTCGACCAACATCGTTCACGGTTTTCGCTCCTCAACATACTAAGTTTAACCATCATGTTCCGAAAATCCAGCTAATTAGTTCGAAGGCAAATTAGAAGGTAAGAACTTGATTTCTACCCGTTGTTTGGCATGCGGTTTTAGGTGTAGCATAAATGTGATACTATCTCATTAGTACATTGGTTGCAATCAGTTTCAATGAATTGATTGCTAAAGTTTACTCTTACCTCCCCAGCTATTGAAATTCCAATCGATCCCGGCAACCTTGTGCTCGGTATTATCCGAATTCACTTCTCTTTTCCTTACAACAAACTGCAAGAAGGGGAAAATACATTACTCCAACATATTTCAGTATGAAAAATGCATTTCTACACTACAAAAGGGAATCCAACAGAAGAGTAAGAGGTGCTCACAGTTGGACCGATATCGCGGAACCAAGAGTCATTCATGCTCATCTCAAGAACCCTGATATTTGTTGGCAACTGATTTCGTGCATTCTCCCACTGTATGTATAAAGTTAATCAATTCATTATAAGTCAGCTCAATACAATACGTAAGACGGTTTTCGATTGCTAAAACTTGTGCGAACCTGAGCAGCACTTGCGCAGACGGTGACGGGCTCGAACTTGGAGATTGCAGTTGCGACCTTCGCAAACACATGTTGGGCGTGCTTTGCATTGTCTCGCCAATTATCAGGACGTTCCTGGAAAACGGGCAGTTCCGAGTTTGACAAACTCAACACACTCCAAGCAAGAAATTAACATCAGACACCATCTAATCTTCTAGCCATGAAGTGGATCATTATATCCTTAAACAGGAAAATCAGTAGCATAAGTCCCAGGTATTATAAGTTTTGTACCACCTCCGGATACTAATATTTCCGGAGAACATATTCGCTATAAGAACTCCGGAATAGCATCTTCACACGGGAGTCTTAAACACTCTATATCCCTCAACAATTCCGGAAGAAGGATCTCGAAGATCTAGATCTCGAGAAGCTGCAATCTAATGACATGGCCTCTGACAAATTTATGTGATCTATCATAACTAAATCAATCATCACCTGATAGTATCCACGTAGAATGTTGACTTACGAGTAGCCATTATATCCTTACAAGCCAAAGGCCGATTCTTAACCAACTACGATTCAACGTTTAAATCAGAAGACATGAACCACTTGTATCCGCCGTAATTCATTTGAGCAACAATAAGATATAGAAATTACATATCACAGCTATATGAAACAGTAATAAAGCAACATAACCAATAATCAGACAAAACCCTATCCCGTTGCAATGAGATTGGAAGAGGAAACAGAGTCAAAACAAGACAAAAGCATGCAAGAACACCAGAAACAAACAAAACAAAATGATATCTCTGGGTTCTTAATCATGCCCATCAAAGAAGAAAGAAGAAAGAAGAAAGAAGAAAGAAATGAATGACATATAAATGAAGAGAAGAGAGAGAACTGACAGGCCAACCCATCCAGCACTGGGAATGGGGTTCCCATTCTGCAGGCATGTGGAAACCAAGATGAGATGGTGCCGCCTTCATTTCCATAATCTCCGGCGCTTGTCAAATCTATCTGACCTTTCCTTCTGAACTAACCATTAAACCCTTTGTTTCGCCTATGTAATATATATATACACACATATATATTATATTTAATGGACACTGAAAGTGACTGACGACTGATAACTTGGTAAAGTTGCAGTACCTAACAAGACGGAACATTTGACCACTTAAGTTTCTTTGTTATTATTATTTGTACTTTGGTAAATATATCTTCGGTGCTTCCTGAATTAAATAAATGTGGATGGATGATGCTGCAGTGATTGGTGTACAAGGATTGTTTAAATATATATTAATAGGTTTAGTTAAGTGGTAATAAATTTAATATTATTCAAGTAGATCTTAAATTCGAGTCTTTGTGTGTATAAAAAGTTTCTGATAAAAATTCATTCACCAAAATTAAGTGTGTGTGTATATTAGTATGGATTAAGTCAAAATGAAATCTTAAAAACATGGAGGATTAAAATTAAAAATTAAAGATTTTGACATAATTTTCCACTTTAGAAACATCTAGCAACTCAAAGAAGATGAAATTGATAATGTAAGATTGATAATAATTTTTTTATTAATTTAGAATAAGTACAAGATATTATATGTTTAAAGATAACTCTTAATTCTTGACATTAAAGACTTACACCCGTTGCATATGATGTTCGAATCCAAATTCTCAAAGAATATTAACAATTCTTTTACAACGAAGGCCATTTGATTCGTACAAAATCGATAACAATTTTAAACACGACAAAACCATTAATAATCACAAATACGCGTATTGATAGCTTTATCACCGAATGAATGAAAAAGTTGTCATCTATAATCATAAATGAGTTAATCTTATCATGTGACATTTAAGGACCAAAACTTTGGATATTCAAATAAAAAACCTTAGACAAAATGATCATGTACAAGACAAATAGATAGGGAGACATGTACTCATGTAATAAATGATCAAGCTTTGCTTTTCATTAAGCCAATTCTTATGTAACCAAGCGAGGCATAAAAAATACTAGGTCTAATCATGCCACATAATTTTTCTAAAGAGTAAATTACGCGTTTAGTATTTAAATTATCAATTTTAATATGTTTTAGTACCTAAACTTTCAATTCTTTTAAAACCATAACGAAAGTTTAATTTTTGTTTCATTTTAATACCCACCATTAAAATCTTTAGTTTTTGTTTCATTTTACGTTAAATTTTGAATTTTTATTTTGAAAATTCAAGTACTAAAACATACCAAAACTAATAGTTTAGGCACTAAACGTGTTGAGTTTTTAACGGCGAGTACTAAAATGGAATGAAAACTAAACATTATGTATGGTTTTGAAAATAATTGAAAATTTAGATACTAAAATGGGCCAAAACTGATAGTTTAGATACTAAATGCTTAGTTTACCCTTTTCTAAAATAATAATGGATTGTTTGTTATACATTATATACTAACCAATCTGCAGTGAACTGTAAACTTTATATATACAAGCACAATGATAATTATGCCAAATCTTGGTTTGTGAAAATGTGCTTATTGATACAACCCAAATCTTCTGCTGCAATTTCCTTTATCAGACAGCAGGGTGTTGTTGAGTGATGCAATGTATATTTCCACCTCCCAACGCAATTTCTCGAGCACCCTCAATTCTTACAATCTGAGACACAACAAATCATTCATACAAACAAACTTTAATTCACTCAAAAGGCAAATTGATTCCATCATAAACCAGAAACACATTCCATTAACATATCTGCTTTCCTACTGCAGTGATTCGAGCAAGTCTAGCTTATTTTGTGAAAAAACTACGTCATTCGGACTCGGCTCAAGTGTTAGATATGAGCATGTTTCACTAACAAATGAAACTTTTGTACTAGTGTTATCTCCTAGTCTATCCGTTAAGCGAAACCTAAGATTTCCTAGCAGTGACCGTAAGCTGATATCCCATAGTTTGATAAATCAATCAGAACTGTTTAATAACTAGAATAGAGCTAAATATTGCATCCATCATGGTACTACTACCAGCACATGTTGAAAAGAAATACTTGCTTACTTCATAGTCTGGAAAGGCTTGAGAAAGGACACTGACAGCTTCGTTATCCCGCTTTTGGTCCCCAAATTGTGGCGTGATGATCGCTCCATTGGCAATATAGAAGTTCGCGTATGAAGCAGCGAGTCTTGCACCAGGAAGTCTCAGTTTAGCCTCACCATCCTGTTGTTAGAAACCAAAAAGACCAGGAACAATGCACAATAAGACCGGGTTTTATTTTGAAACAAACAAATAATGAAGGACAAGGGAAAAACTACTGTGATATTCTCAAAAGCTGCATCTAGGCTAGGCACTGAGTTGAATGAATATGGACTGAGATGAAGAGTCGGAGGGGGGAAAATGCTTACCTGAGCAACTCCAGCAGCTTCTTCATCCGTCATAAAAAGTGGCCCCGGAACATGGAGTTTAATTATTTCTAATTTCCGACCACACGCATCTGTCTCATTTGAGAGAAAAGTGAAGGCTTCCATGGAACGTTCATACTGAGGATCTGTTTCATCATCAATCCAAGACAACAAAATAACACCAGGCTTTGCAAAGCAGCACAAATTATCAATATGACCATTCGTATCGTCATCACCTGTTGAAAAACAAGATAATACTTTAAATTTCGGAGGACTATATAGTGTTTAAAAGCTCATCAGGTTTGCTTGAGCTTGTAGATAATCAATAAGGTTTGAAAGTGACATTGAGTTAAGGTTCGGCAGAAGGGTTCGCATTTAAAAAATGAAGAACATTAAACATGCTTATCTTTAGTCATATATGAATCATTGTGATATGAAATATGCAAACATGAAATGATGATCCTCCGACTTAAAAGTTTAAAAAATAAAGAAAAAACAGAAATAGTAAGGGCTTACAGATCAAAATGAAATTCGAGATATATGTCAGATATGGAATCAAAACAGAATCGTGTACCATATAATCCGCGAGGCAACCAGATAACCTTCTTCACTCCAAGATATGCCTTAAGTTCATCCTCTATTTGTTCTTTGGTCATATTTGGGTTCCTGTTTTTGTTCAAAAGGCACTCCTCGGTCGTAAGGCAAGTTCCTGAGGGATAAAACCAAAGATGAACAAATCCAAAAATGATACATTGATTGAGGAGAAATGTACTTAAAAATTTATGGTTTGCTCATAAAACATCATTCTCTGAGCGAGAAGTGATGCCTCTAACTATGTATAAAACAATGTGTAATCTTTTGCAGCGGTACACAATATGAAAGCAATAAAAAAATTATATATTAAGTCGCAAAAACCCTTCTTTTTTAAAGCTTCTCATAGATTGAATAGTCAAGTACAGAAGAAGAAAATCAAAGCCAAAACAAGTGCATAATCTAAATCCTCCATCTTTTCATTGCTTAAGCATTCAAAATACTTTCCATGGCAAATAAAGAACCAGATCTACAGAGATCACTTGAAAAGCGACTACGTTTATAACAATGATAGAGAGCAGACAAAAGTAAATGAAGAAAAGTGATGCAGTTAACTAATTTCTGTTGAAGTTTAAGTAAAGTTCCCTAGAAAATATGCAAGAGATAACCCTGCCGGATTCATGTTATTCTTTGAAAGCTACATCTACCATTGTAATAACAGACATGGGTGCCCTGTCACGATTTGTGTCAATTGACCTTCACATTCACTTCTCTTTATCATGGTTCTCATAATAGGGTACTTTTTAATGGAAAATAAATAAAGGATAGAAGACGTAGCTAACTAGACTTCCATCTTCTGATGCAGTTAATATAATCTCCATAAAGCATTGCAGATGAAATTTTTTAATAATGCTTTATAAGATGCGATGAGAAAAGAGAGATCGTCTTTTCAAATAGCATCATATATAAACACTCGATTAATCATGTTTAAGTGTGAGCAAATGAAGGATGAAAGGGGAAAAACCCCTTTAAATTATGCAAGTACAGTTGAAAAGATGCTTCAAGTGGCCTTGGCCAACAGTTTTGACATGGCAAGCTAATCTTTCATTTTTTTCTGAAATGGCATGCACTAAAAATGCTAATCAAACAGCGGATAAATTATCGGTTTATCACCTTCTCCATCGACGTGTATACTTCCACCTTCAAGAACCATTGGATGTGGAAATCTAGGAAGCCTCTCATTTCCCAGTATCTACAAACAATCAATAACTGAAGATAAATCACCGAAATATTAAGAAGCATTGAACCTGAACAAGTAAATACATCACTAACACTAACCTTCTTTGCCACAAGAAGGTCAAGATTCCAATCTGTATAACAACCATCATCAACCCCTACAAAGACCACAACAGTTTCCTTTCAGTGAAGATGGCTGGGAGATAAACGCATAAATTAACACATTAAGATTACTAACATTTAAAATCATCAAGTTCAAGACCAGACTCTCCTGATCAACGCAATATGCAATCAAATTAAAAGTTTTAACCAACATTTTTTACGGTTTTTTCTCCTCAACCGCACAACGTACTAAGTTTAATAATCATTTTTAGAAATTTCAATCAATTAGTTCAAAGGAAAATTAGAAGGTAAGAACTTGATTTCTACTCATTGTTTGGCATGCTTTTAGAAAAAGAATCCAAATTATCTGGTATAACTTCCATATTTAATCAACACTTAAAGAATGATATTAAATTATGTTTGTTGCAGTATGAATGTGATACTAGCTCATTGTTAAATCATAATTTCAATTTTTAATAGATTGGTTGGCAGAGTACTTCAGTTGCTATCATTTCAAGTTTCAATGGATTGATTGCCTAAGGTGCATTAATTCCGAACTTTGAAATTTGCTCTTACCTCCCCAGCTATTGAAATTCCAATCGATCCCGGCAACCATGTGCTCGGGATTATCAGAGTTAACTTCTCTTTTCCTTACAACAAACTGCAAGAAGGGGAAAAACAAATTACTTAAAATATTTCAGTAACCAAAACGGAGTTCTTAACTACAAAAGGGGAATCAAACTGAAGAATAAGAGGTGCTCACAGTAGGACCAATATCACGAAACCAACAGTCATCCATGCTCATCTCAAGAACCCTGATATTTGGAGGGCAACAGACTTCGTGCATTTGCACACTGTGTATAAAGTTAATTACTTCAATAAAATTCAGCTCAAAACAATACGTAAGACATACGAAAGACAGGTTTTGATCTCTAGAACATGTACAAACCTGAGCAGCACTTGCACAGACGGTGACAGGCTCGAACTTTGAGATTGCAGTTGCGACCTTGGCAAACACATGTTGAGCGTGCTTTGCATTGTCTCGCCAATTATCAGGACGTTCCTGAAAAACAGGTAGGTTCGAATCCGTCAAACTCAACCGACTCTAAGCATGAAACTAACATCAAACGCCATCTAATGTTCCAGCCATAAGTGGATACCCTCAAATAAGGAAAAGCAGCATAATCCCCAAAGTGACAACAAAATTTACATATGATAGCTTGATGAACAGTAGTTTAGCAGCATTTTTCTGACGAATAAGATTAAAAAGAATATAACAGTGGATAAAACCCAAATCATTGAAATGAAACAGATTCAAAATATAGGCAAAAACATGATAGGAAAAAAAACATCAAACAAAAGGGTATCTACCAATTCTGAGTCATACCCATCAAAGAAGAAACATTTGTAATAAAAAACGACATACAGAGTTTGGTATGAAATCAAAGAAATGAACGAGCTGAATCCATAAGAAAGAAGAAGAAGAAAGAAAACTAACAGGCCAACCCATCCAACACTGGGAATGGGGTTCCCATTCAGCAGGCATGTGGAAACCGAGACGAGACGGCGGCGCGTTCATCTCCATCCCCGACATTTGTCAAATCTATCCTTCTGAACGAAACCCTTTTGCCTTAAACAGTTGTGTGCGTATATAAAGTAAGGACTGACAGTGACTGACGGCCGATACAGTTGGTGAAGCCTCCATATTGCAGTTTGTCAAATTGCAACGCTGAATATTCTAGCAGGGGCCCTTTTACTTTTCCTACATATTATTGCCACTTTGGTAAATATAATAATAGATTGGGTGCCTTTTTAATAAGGCTTAGATTAAAAAAATATTAAATTATATATTTTTAAATTATTTTTTTATCAAAATAAAATTTTAAATTATTTTTTTTTGGTAAAAAGGTATATATTCAGAAACATACAAAGAAAAATATTATTATATATCTTAATAAATATTCTCATAGTCGGAAGAAAAGTGAACATATAATAATACTAAAGAAACAAAGGAAATACAACTAAAAAATAAAATAAAATTATGAAACAACTTATTTCAATAATTAAAGAAATTGTTATTATTCTTAAAATTTACGGGTTTAAGCATTAACGAGTATGAAAGCGTTGACTATCAAATAAATTTGTTATACCTAAAACTAAGGATGTTCGCGTCAGTTTGGATTGGTTTTTGGCTAAAAATCATTCGATCCGAAAGTATAAATGTTTGATGTTTGAATCGGTTTGGATACTTCTAAAAAAATCCGATCTAATTAAGTGCGGCTTGATTCGGTTTGGATTTATGCGATTTTTGAATTCTAATTTTTAAAAATAATTCTTGATTTTTTTCATAAAAAACAACAACATATGTATAACAAAAGCAAAGAGTATATATTTTAACAAATGCAAGCTTGTGAAGCTTACAAAGAGAATATATATTTTAACAAATGCAAGTTTGTAAAGTTTGCTCACATTAATAGTTCAGCAGCAGTTTGTAGATAGAACCAATATTTTTCATCTTTAGGCATAGATGAGTCTATTTCTTTCCCTTTTATAAATTTAATATTGCCAAGATGTAAAATTACAGCAACCACTCGAAATATTGCTTCCTGGACAATGGTGGGAGACAAAATATCAAAGCATTGCAGCACAATGTGCCTTTCATTTGGTCTGTCCATATGTCATTCTTTGTCAATCAAATACACAAAAGACAGAGAAACCACCCAAAGCTAAAGACAAATAGAGGACACCCTATAAAGACAGAGAAATCACATTCTAAAAATCAAAATTTGCATAATATAAAGTGCATTCAAATTAAGTCAATAAGTCCTGAAATTGTTCTAGTTATAACTTCATTGTAAGAAACTATCGGTTCTTTTCGGTTTAGATCGGTTTCAGATTTTCAAACCGAAATCGAATCAAACTGTTCGGTTTAAAAAAAAACACACTAAATCGATTTCGGTTATCGATTTTTTAAATCGATTTTCGATTATTTTTTTGGATTGAATTAAATCTGAATACCCTACCTAAAACAGCATTCCAAGCCAATTCAAGACTAACAACAGCACCCCATAATGCTGCATCGACCACCGAATAAACATCAATGAATTTGTTATACCAAAACCTCCAAGAAGAGAGTTTCGGGCAAAAAATCATTATATATAAATAATATTACAAGTATTTTAATTATTTTTTAATTAAAATAAAAAATTAAATTATAGATTTTTTAAATATCAAAATTTTTAATTTTATATAACATGCTAATATCTCATTGGTAAAAAAAATTAAAAATAACATAAGTTAAAATAATTACATATAATAATTTAAATATTTATTTCAATAAAAATAATTTCTGGCTTTGTAATGGAGCAAAATCTACCTCTTCAATTATTCTAAACGGTTATATTTTAAACCCGATGAACTCATCACTTTGAGGTGATGAATTACAAATTTTTTTTATTTAAAATAATTGTAAAAAATTTAATATTATTTTAATAAAAATTATCATCTTAGGATGACGAATTTCTTAAAAATTAATTAAATAATAAAAATTATAATAACTATAAAAATATAATATTATTTTAATAAAACTCTGTAAAAAATGCCGTATATCCCAAAATAATTTCCTAACCAACCTATATTCCAAATAGTTTTCCTGATTGCCATAATGGGCTAAACAAACATTTGCATTTAGTTTCCATAAACTATTAATTTGGGTTTTGAAAACTCACACCCACATTTTTTACATTCGCATCTGAAATTTTGGATGTTTAATTTACATTAAAATTCATTACAAAAACAATCGTCGTAACTCAATTTATCAGTAAAGATTCATCATCGAAACAATCATCCTAACTCAAATTTTATATAATAAAATTTAAATACTAAAATAGATCAAAACTAATAGTTTAAGTACTAAATGCATAATTTACCCTAAACTATATTGCGACCTACACTACGTTGCAGTAGGAGTTAAACAGTTTTAAACACTTACATTGCACGATTTGAGCAAAGGAAAGAACATGTTCAAAGGGAAATAAAACATTTTACTGATTAAACACTTAAAATGGTTGAATGAAGTAAAACAAAAGGTTTTGAGGAGATAGATAAATGATGGTGACAGAGCACCACACCCTGAGATGCAGAAAACAAGAATGGCAACAACAGAACACATTATGTTGGTCTCTTGGTAATTAAAAAAGGGAGGATGCAAGCTCGGATACATCCGATACTATCTGGCCATAATCGGCCTTTATCATTTCTTGTTCCTCGGGGGCGAGTTCGCCTTTTGCGGGCTTTGTCAACACCAGAACACAGCATGTTGGTCTCTTGGTAGCTCCTGCTGTTGCAAGATCCTGAAAATGGCAGAAGAAACTAGTCAAGCAGTGTTCATCATCTACTTGAATAAACCGAAAACCTAAACTCGAAATCTACCAAAGACCCAGTCAAGAGTCAAATTGCAGGATCTATAGACGCAATTGGCTGTACATATGGGCAATGATAATGTTCTAAGGTTTTGGATAGGCAAGCAGGAGAACCACTTTAAGCATGCAGTGTCACCAAATTAAACAAATACCAGAGAGGAGGACGAAGGACGGGCGTCCGAACTTACTTCTTTCGAAGGTACATAGACATAGGGAATCTCAGCCTCTTCGCATAGAATCGGGAGATGAGTTATGACATCAATAGGAGATATGTTTCCAGCTATAACACATAATCTGCATTCAACAAAAAGATTGAAGAAACATGACCCTCTCAAATGTTATAAACCAGCTACATCACATGTTAAGATAAGGTATGAAAAGACTAAAACTATATGAACATGCTACAAGCTAGGTCTGTAAACAAGCTGAGTCAAACTCAACTCAAAAAATTCAAAATAGAATTTGACTCGATTCCAAAGCTCGCGAGCATAAAATTATCAAGCACGACTCGAATTTGAAAAAAAAAATTGAACTCGAAACATTCTCAGGCTTAACTCAATTGAAACTCAATTCAAACTCTCAAATTCAAACATGAGCTCAATTTAAACTCAAACTCGAATTCAAATGTGAACCTTTAGTATATGAAAACCTTATACTATACTTAAAAGAACTAAAAAAGGTATTTTTATTGTGTTGCTAGCAAGCTTTTTGAGTCATATATCAAATAACTCGCTTCGGCTCATTGATAACTAAACTGTGTTTGAGATTGAACTCGAGTCTATTCAATTCAAATATTGACCAAACTTTGATTGAACCAAAGTTGATTAACTCGCAAACTGTTCTTATCACTTAGAGACCAGCTAACAGACAAATGATTCGGTCCATGAAACTTACATTGGCATTCAAACAAACACATAATGATCACCTTATTCACTGGCTAAATGATGTTTCCAAAAGAAAAGTTTACCCTTTATGGCCACGCCTAATGCTTTTAACTACTTCTTTTACTCCTCTCTTCAAGCACTTGTGCTCAGATGCTGCAACAATGAAAGATCAACACATTGAGAACTCGAACACAAAACAATCTACCATATCAAGAAGCCTTCACTTTAAGCACAAATTCCACCATTAGAACTTAACCCCCCCCCAAAAAAAACACAAGCTTTAAAGTTTAAAAAGAAAAAGACCCAAAACGGAGTTACATGAAAACGATTGATTTTATATTTAAAAGATGGGAAACCTTTGCGGACGAGTTTAAGGGTTTTCTTGGAGAGCTTCTTCCCAGCAAGGGGCTTTGCGATGGGAGCAATGGCTAACATCTTCTTCCTCTCCTTCTCCTTCTGATGTGACTTTTCCACTTCGCTATCGCTTCCCATTTCCCTCTCTTTTCTCTTTCCTTTTCGCTAAGGATTGAAATAAACAGGGAAGAAATAGACAAACAGAGCAGTTCATAGCTCAAAGTTAAAAGAGTATAATGTGAAAGAAATCATACGAGGAAATTAGGGTTTTTGTATGTTGAGGGTTTAAGCTTCGTTTGTAATCCCTTAATGTGCTTTTAAGACATTTGCATTGAACTATGTAATTTGGGCTGCCCAAATCTTATTAACATTGGTGTTTGATAGAGTAAAAAGAGAGGGCGAAATGGACCCAATAGGTCCATGGGTTAAAAATTTAGTCCATTATTCAAAATTATTTTGGGATATATGATAAATGTTACAATGTATGAGAAATTCGTCACATTGGCGTGATGAGTTATAATAAAATATAATTTCTTACTAGAATTTATCACATTAAAGTGAAAAGTTTGAATAAAAATATTTATTTATTAAAACTCATGACCTCGATGTGATGAAATTTTCCTAAATTATAACATTTGTCGTATATCCCTAAATAATTTGTTTGGTAAGTAATTAGCCCGCCTACTGTATTGGGCCAATTTTTTAAAAAAGAGATTGGCTCTAGAAAATATTTATTGTTTTTTATTTTTATTTTCAAAAAATAATTTTTATTTTAAATTTTTTTGAAAATTAAAAAAATTATATTTGATTAACATAAATGAAAACTTGAATTCATAAATAACAATAGTTAAAATATATTTATTATCTATTTTTTTTAAATAGAGATGAACAAATAGTTTTTAAATAATTATATTAAAATAGAATTATAAGAAAATATAAAACAATAAATTTCATACAAAATTTTATAACACAAAAATTATTTTAGTTTATAACATGAATATAATGTTAATGCATATTAGATATCAATTAAATTAAAAAATACGCACAAAATATTGTTGTAAACAAGAGCACACAATAAATAAAAAATAAGTTTAATGGTATTTAAGGTCCTCCAACTTTTGAAAAAAAAAACTAGCATAGCCTCAATGTGATCCTTGAACTAAGAAAAAAATCAATCTAACCTTTTGATTAACGAAATCAAACATATTTCTAAATTCATTGAAATTTAAAAATTAAAATATTGACTTTTTTACTAAGTTCGAGGGCTTAATTAATTTTTTAGAAAGTTTAAGGACTTAATTAATTTTTTAGAAAAATTAAGAAATCATTTAAATATAAAATATAAAATATAAATAATTATCATGATATTTTATACATTAAATAGAAAATTACTAAAAAAATTAAAGTATTAAAAAAATTAGTTTAAGGACCAAATTGGGTGTAAAAATAGTTTATGGACCACATTTTTTTGTAAAATTTTGAGGGTTTTATATACCATTAAATTAAAAAGGTTATTGTTAAAAGGATTTGAGCTTGTGTAAGTTAAGTAAAAAAACTAGATTCTATTTTTTTTTCAAATTTTCAAAATAATTTTAATAAAAATAGTAAAAACATTTTTTTATGTTTTCATATTTTCACTCATTTTTGTTTTTATTTTCCAGAAATTATTTTCTAATTTTACAAAAAATCTATTTTCCAAAAAATAAAAAAAATAGTTTATATTTTTTAGAACTAAACGAACCGTTAAATTCTTGAACCATGATTCAATAATAAAATATATTTTTGTTATTTTCTTTAATTTATTCATATTTTTGTGAGTCTTTCTATTTTTCTCGTTAATTAGCGATGAAGAAGAAGATGAGTCTTTGTAGTTACAAAAAAGACATTTGAGACTGTTGAGAATGACTATAACATTTAGAGTAAAAAAGAGTAATTTTAACGGTCGGGATTAGAGTTGCTTAAAGAGTTGAACAGTTCGTGAGTAGTTTGAATTTAACTCGGTCAAAATTTGGTAAACATTCGACTCGAGTTGGCTCGATTCAAACTCGAACTCGACTCAAGATCTTAACGAGCTGAGCCGAGCAAAGTCTAACTCGACTCGATAAGTTCGCGAGCAACTCGTTAATTTTTTAAAATATATTTTTAGTAATTACTTCAAAATTATTTCGTTCAAAAAATAAATCTAAACAATAACTATTAATTTATTAACAAATAATAAAAAATAATAAGTTAGCTAATCTATTATTTTTTAATAAATAATAAAATATTATTAATTAATAATATTATTTTAATACACAAAATCCAACCCTAATATCCTCGTATAGTATTAGTAAATTTTATTTTTAGTTAAAAAATAAGGTAAAATTTTTAGTGACCTTAACGAGCAGCGAGTCGAGTTGAGCATCAAGAATTTTTAACAAGCACGAGTTGAGCACTTTCCAACTCTCAATTGACTTGCTCGATAAACACTCCTGGTCGGGATGTAATCAAGATTCTAATTCAAGAGATAAGGTATAACTAACAATATAAAATATAAAATCAAATTGAAGCTCTAAATACATGTTTATTCTTATATATTTTTTAATAATAAAAATTAGGGGGAGGGCAGTGGCCCCTAACCTTACACATAATTTCGTCCATATTTAGTTGTAAAAAAGAATAGAGTAAATTATGTACATAAACTAGTAATTTTAGTTTATTTTAATATCTAAACTATCAGTTTCAGTCTATTTATTATCTAAAATTTTATTTTTTTCAAAATCATACATAATCGTTAAAAACTTAACTCGTTTAGTACCTAAACTATTAGTTTTGGTATGTTTTAGTATCTAAACTTTTGTTTTTTTTTTCCAAATAGATTGTTAAATTTTGAACGATGGTATTAAGATAAAACAAAAACTTAACTTTATGTATGATTTTGTAAATAATAAAAGTTTATATTTTCATATTTTGTAAACAAAAACTTAACGTTTTTTTTATGTTTTCATATTTTCACTCATTTTTGTTTTTATTTTCTAGAAATTATTTTCTAATTTTACAAAAAATCTATTTTCTAAAAAATAAAAATAAAAATAGTTTATATTTTTTAGAATTAAACGAACCCTTAAATTCTTGAACCATGATTCAATAATAATTTGTTTTTTGCTTTTCTGATATTTTTTTGTTATTTTCTTTAATTTATTCATATTTTTTGTGAGTCTTTCTATTTTTCTCGTTAATTAGTGATGAAGAAGAAGATGAGTCTTTGTAATTACAAAAAAGACATTTGAGACTGTTGAGAATGACTATAACGTTTAGAGTAAAAAAGAGTAATTTTAACGGTCGGGACTAAAGTTGCTTAACGAGTTGAGCAGTTCGTGAGTAGTTTGAATTTGACTCGGTCAAAATTTGGTAAACGTTCGACTCGAGTTGGCTCGATTTGAACTCGAACTCGACTCAAGACCTTAACGAGTTGAGCCGAGCAAAGTCTAACTCGACTCGATAAGTTCGCGAACAACGCGTTAATTTTTTAAAATATATTTTTAGTAATTACTTCAAAATTATTTCGTTCAAAAAATAAATCTAAACAATAACTATTAATTTATTAACAAATAATAAAAAATAATAATAAAATATTATTAATTAATAATATTATTTTAATACAAAAAAATCCAACCTTAATATCCTCGTATAGTATTAGTAAATTTTATTTTTAGTTACAAAAATAAGGTAAATTTTTTAGTGACCTTAACGAGCAGCGAGTCGAGCAATAAATTTTTTTAACAAGCACGAGTTGAGCACTTTCCAACTCTCAATCGACTTGCTAGATAAGCACTCCTAGTTGGGATGGAATCAAGATTCTAATTCAAGAGATAAGAAATAACTAACAATATAAAATATAAAATCAAATTGAAGCTCCAAATACATGTTTATTTTTATATATTTTTTAATAATAAAAATTAAGGAGAGGGCAGTGGCCCCTGACCTTACACATAATTTCGTCCATGTTTAGTTGTAAAAAAGAATAGAGTAAATTATGTACCTAAATTAGTAATTTTAGTTTATTTTAATATCTAAACTATTAGTTTCAGTCTATTTTATTACCTAAAATTTTATTTTTTTTAAAATCATACATAATGTTTAATTTTTATTTCATTTTAGTACACGTCGTTAAAAACTTAACGCGTTTAGTACCTAAACTATCAGTTTTGATATGTTTTAGTATCTAAACTTTTATTTTTTTTTCAAAATAGAACGTTAAATTTTGAACGATGGAATTAAGATAAAACAAAAACTTAACTTTATGTATGATTTTGTAAAGAATAAAAGTTCAAATATTGAAACAAATAAAAAATGATAATTTAAATACTAAAAGTGTAATTTACCCAAAATATATCTTGAGGGGTGAGAAAAAATCTAATCGACCCGAAAAACTTATTTTTTTGACTCGACTCGATTTGAAAAAAACTCGACTTGAAGTAATATCGAGTTGTAATTTCATAAACTATACTAAAAAAAATCAAGTTAAAATCTAGTTGTAAAATACAACTCGAATAACTTAAAATTTTTAATAATTAGTGGATAAAATTTTAAGTTTGAGTCGAGTTCTTTGATTCTGTATGATATATGTATATCACATATAAAAGAAATATATATGTATTATATTTTTTTTTATCAAAAATCACACATAAATGGATTGTTATATATATGTATTGTATATGATCATAAAAAATTATTTAAAGTCAAATTAGATAATATCATAATATTATAAATATTTATAATTAAATTTAAACAAAAATTTAAAAATTCGACTCGACTCGACTTGAAAAATATATATGTATATCATATATAAAAGAAATATATATGTATTGTATTTGTTTTATAGAAAATCACACATAAATGGATTGTTATATATATGTTGTATTGTATATAATCATAAAAACTATTTAAAGTCAAATAAAATAATATCATAATATTATACATATTTAGAATTAAATTTAAACAAAAATTTGAAAATTCGACTCGACCTGACTTGAAAAAAATTTTAAGTCAACTCCAAGTTGTAAAATAGGACTCGTCAATTCGAAAATTTTTTACCCAACTCGCCACGTTATCCATAATCCTCGTGAATCACATCCATTAATTTTAAAACAACTTTCAAATAACTGTCACTCTTTATTTACACGTAGGAAAAATATGAAGATTCATCTTGAAAAAAATGAAATTTGTTGGGATCACATATGACGTGATGAGCCGAGACCATCTAATAATTTTATGATTTTCC